TGTCCCTCACCAATGAGGGACAAAGTGCAAGACAAAAGTTCACTTCTTCAAATTTTTATTTTCTCTCCATTTTATTTCCCTCCATTTCCAATTCACACTTCTTCTACTTTAAAGCCCAATGTGTTAAAGTCCAACAAGAAATGTATGCAAGAATGGTTGAATACAATGTCTACTCGCACTTTAATTTCTTCTGTAATAAAGGTCGACCCAATAGAAAGAGATGAATGAAAAAACTCGGCCAAATAATTTAAGAAGCATGGTGAGTCGGCAAAGTTGACAGAAAGATGTTTTTGGATACTAATAATAGTTTTGTTTCATTTTACACATTGACAGCAAGAGACACACATTAAATAGGCAAAGTTTCTTTTTTCCTTCAAGACAACGGTTGATTAAGATTTTTCAAAGCCACCGATTAAGATTAATTAAAAAACCTTAGTTGTTAATGAGAATAAACACAATTTTTAGAAAAGTCACTTAAATCATATCAGTTTTTTCCTTTTATTTAAATGTTATTTTTAATATATTAGGGTATTTAACTTAAACATTCTACTAACAAATATAAATATATTAAAAATTCTACTATTTTTCCCTTCTCTTATCATAAGAACCACCACGTCCTTAGAGAGAAAAAATGAACCGTAGCCTTTTTGAAACGTTACCTTCTTAAAAGGTCATTATTTTAACGTTCGAAGAAAGGTTCCTTCTTCAATATTGTTCGTTCATCTACATTTTATTGTTGGTTTTCCTACACTAATTTTCGATTACTGCTAATATAATGTAGAATGTTTAATATAATATAGATAAGAGGGGTATTTTTATAATTTGACTTTTAAGTTATGAGCTTCCCACTTTTAATATAAATAACTAGTCTCAAGGTACGTGCGATGCAGGTGTATTCTATCTCAATGAGTGCTAATTTATTTAAAATTCGTGTTTAAATAATAAAGTAAAAGTATTAAGTTCCTAAATATAATTATATATGTTAAATGTGCATAATAACTCAATAAATAAAGAAGCTCTCATAAAAATCCTCAATCATAAGTCAATAATTCAACTTAAAATTTATTTCAGTTTAATAATATTATAACTTTAATTTCACAAGTTATCATGCTTCCTTTTTCAGTTTCAGCAAGAACAAGTCCTTAAAAACCTTATAATTTTAATTTTACAAGCTATCATGCTTCCTTTTCGGTCAGCAAGAACAAGTCCTTAAAAAATTAAATAGTGCTGAAGGATAACTTAAAATATATAATCAGGCAACTAATAACAACTTTCATATGATCACAAAATTAAATTAAATAGCAATAAAAAAAATATATTTAAAAGGATACTAAAGCAAGCTTGTGAGAGAATTTATAATTGAAAGAAGTCTTTTCCATGACATATTAACTCCAGAAAATGACTTAGAATTAGAATTAAAAAAAAGGGTAGTCCGGTGAATAAGGCATCCCGCATAATTTAAGTGAATGATCTATATAAAGTAAAATTTTAATATTTAAAAGTTCTAAGTATTAGAAATTTTAGTCCACATAATAAAAAATTAATAAATAAAAGTTTTATTAATTTTAAACTTCTAAAAATTATAAAAATAATTAAATGACTTATTAAATGAATTATTTTTTATATAATAATTAACATTAATTTGGAAGGACTTCAGATTTTCTTTTTTGCTTATAAAGATCAAGTTTAAAATGGAAAAAAGCGTTAGTTTTAAATTTTAGTCTTTTATTATAGGTATTTTATTAAATAATCTAGAATTGAAATATAATAAGCACATTATCTCTTATTAATAAAAGAAATGGAAAACAAACGTGATAAAAGTAAGTCCTATAAATTAGAATTCATACCTATTTTAAACAAGGAAGTATTTAATATACAAAATATGGTTAATTTTGAAGTCCTAAATTTTAGGCAGATAACTTATATTAATATTTTATCCAATATATAATATTTTTTTAAAGGGTAAAAAAGGCAAACGACATTTCGCTAAGGGCCTTCGTGCTTTTAATATAGTATAGATATAGATATAGATAGATAGATTGATTTGTATATAGTTGGTAAATTGTATATGACCATATAATTAAGTTAAAACTTAATTAGAGAGGGTAGATAAGTTTCTCATATAGTATAGGTAGGTAAAACTCCCTAACATTATTGAAACAAGGCCTTAAAAGTCGTAAAAATTGCACGGGGCGCCCGATTTGGTCGCCTCCATTTAACCTATACTTATATTTTTAAAATTATTTAACCTATGCCCTAATTTTTACAACTTCAGGCCCCTCCTTCTTCCTGCTACCTGTGCGCTCCTTTCTTCCTCCTTTCTTTTCATTGGAAAACTGTAACGTGGAATTATGTATAACGAACATACACATAAAGGAAAAAAGGAAATCTTACTTTTCTTTCTGTACGATGAGGGCAAAACAGATATGTGAAGGAAGAGATCTTCATCGTCTACTGTATACGAATGGCATAGCATTGGATCTCCTGATTTTAATATCGAGATTGCAATTTTCAGCACAATGTGCCTAAAGCCAATGGATCCCATCCCATGACTCGAATATTGTTGGCCTGAGTTTACATAGTAATGTAAACTGCAGTGTTACTTGATGAACATAAATGGTGCAATTTATGAAAATTTTCAAGCTACTGCTACAAACTTGATAAGATCACATCAGGTTTAAGGAAAGCTTCTTTGAGGCAGTAGACCTATAACGAGTTTGTGACTTTAAATATAGTCCATAAATCAGCTGAAGTTCAGCAAATATATAACAAAACTTCAGCTAAAACATGCTGAAGTTCAGCAAATAGAGAACAAAACTTTAGCTAGTAGAATGCTTAAGTTCAACAATTACAAACAAAAACTTCATCCAACACTAAGTATACGCGAAAAACTTAAGCTAAAACATGCTGAAGTTCAGCAAATAGAGAACAAAACTTCAACTAGTACACTTCAGCTTATTTTAGTGTTGAAGTTTTTACAATTGAACTAAATAACTTTAGCATCTTCTGCTGAGGTTTTTGAAAAAGCTTTATGACAAAACTAATGAATCCAGGACAAAACTTCAGCTTATTTAGTACTGAAGTTTTTGCAAATGAACTAAATAACTTCAACATCTTCTGCTTAAGTTTTTGAAAAAGTTTTACGACAAAACTATTGAATCCAGGACAAAACTTCAGCTAAAACATGATGAAGTTGAGCAAATAGAAAACAAAACTTCAGCTAGTAGAATGCTTAAGTTCAACAATTACAAACAACTTCAGGCTCGTCTACTAAAATGCTAAATTTGTGTGATTGCCTTTGCTACTTCAGGACCATATACCTAAAATTTACGCGAAAAGTGGGTACGCTTGTAATTTTTTTTACAAAGCGATTATAAATTAAAACGTGACCCAAAAAGAGTATAAATGGAAATCCCCTTAAAAGTCCCAAAATCCAGGGGCCCATTTACACTTTGGAGTTCATGTGAGGCCCCATCTACACCATAGGTCCATAACAAGAAGAGGCCCGGCTACAAAATTCATAAACCCAGTTCTGCCCCTTCTTTTCTTGTTCAGAAAGATTTGTTTCTTTTGAAATACTTTTACAGAGCCAGAAGAAGAAAAAGAAGAAGAGAGCAATGGAAGCTTCAAAGACAATAGCACACGAAATCGGGGGAGTGAGAAACGATGCTTTCCGATTCGGTCTTCAGGGTGTTAAGAGCGACATCGTCGGATCTCATCCTCTTGAGTCTGCCTATCACTCTGTATTATTCCTTCTCCACACTATTCGATTCTTTTGCCTTTACATATGTTTCCTCTGTTTGATAGTCTGATTATTTAATTTCCTTTTTTGGGAGCAGACGAAGGTTAGGCAGGAGGAGATGAAGAGGAAGGTACTTGCTAACACTTACGGGTCGGCTTTACCTATGAAGTTAGAGCTCGATCGCCAAATTCTTTCCAGGTTGGTGTTTCTTACTTGTTAAATTTTTTAATGGATTATTAGACTCTAGCTGTAGTATTGATTTATTGTTTTGGTGTAAATCCTCTGGAAAATGTAGGGTTTTGAGTTGCAGAAGCACCTTTCTTTTGTGCTCGCTAGGGTTTTATTCTTGTTTTCAGTTTTAATATTATAGAAGTCGAAATGGACTTGAATAGAGGCTAATTTATTACGGATATGGGTGTAGTTGATTGATTGATTTTCTAATAAAGTTCTCGACTTTTTGTTTAATCAACAACTACTATGCCTCAATCACAATTGGGTAAATTTAATGGGCTTTTCATGCTCATGGCTTGTGACTCATTTTTCCTTTTCTTCTTTAGATTTCAGGTCTTCGTCCAACTAGACTGAAACCCCTTGTTAATTTGATTTAAGTTATACTTAGTTAGGAGCCCTCTCCCTTTGTATAGGTAGGGAAGGCTGTCTGAGTTGAGTGAGACTGAGCTGGGTGTGCTCCTACAAGCGTTAGTTTTCCATTCATACTTCTAGCTGATATCATATTCCTTATGTTCTTGATGCTTATATCAGCTTCAAGCCCTCCCCAAGATGAATATAAGAGGCATGCCTTGTTTATTTTCTCCACATTTTGTAGAGGTGTAGTGCATCCATTATTGTGAATATGCACTAAAGTTTTATCACTTTTATGTGGGTAAAATTAAAATGTCAAGTATCGTACTTAACTATTATCAAGCACCCCCCCCCCCCCCCCCCCCCCC